CGTGGCAGAATGGTTCGCATGTCAGTTTCAAGGTGTCGCCATTTCTAGGTTCTAATCCCGGTCGAGTCAATGTGAAAAATGCACTTTTCTATATTTTCTTGGGTGTTGTGGTGCCTTCGCTGCTTAAGATTTCCATAATACAAATGCTAAAAGCTTCAGTTTAAAATATAACAGATTAATAAAAAAGTATTTTCTTATTATAAAGCGATTTTACTGATAATTTGTGAAGATAAGTATTGATACTGAATTTGACTTAATTTTTATGCCAGTTAGTGAAACGAAAACACATTAATCATAACGTTAATTTTCATTTTAATCTTAACCGATACATCTTAATTAAAATATCGCTACATGCAACATCTGTTTACCACAATATTAACCAAGATAACTATGATGAAAGCGTGACGGATGTTGGAAGAGCTCTCTTATTAAGAGTGTATTGGATATTGAAAACAGTAATTATTTATTGTTCACTTTCTTTGTCAACATATTTAACAAATATAAACACTATAGCGTGCTAAGAGAGAATTAATTAGGTTTGAAGTCGGTGCGTCTAATTTATCTGAAGGTGTTAAATGCAAATAAACATTTAGAAAAATATTTATAAAAACATTTGTAGCTGATTAATTAAAACTTATAATTATAATAAAAGTTTCACTAATTTTTTTAGAATATATCTAAGTTCTTTTTATTATTTTTGAATTCATATTTTTTCATTATTACCTTTATTAACAGACTTCAAAATCGAAAAGGAAGAGGTTATATGTTCGACCGCGATTTATTTTTTTATTTATATAAGTTTACCGATATTTTCGCCTATTGTGGACTGATTTTCAAAATTCTTTTTTTATTCGATAACTTAATGGACCGAGGTGGTCCCATTTGAATTGTATCTAAATCGAATCAGTATTTTTGCTTTAATAAAAAAAAAATACGCATTTCACTACATATCAACTAAATATTTAGATTAAATGTTTGAATTCAGCTAAAAAACAAAAGATTACCTATTTTTATTCTTTCCAAATCCGAAAGGAAGATTTTATATATCTAACGAGTATGTATGTACCTATGTACTTTACTTTTTAATGTATTTTTTTATGAAAGTAGGTAATATATGTTCATCGATTTATAGCTGTTTCCCCGCTTCTTTGTCTGCGTAAATTATAGCCTTTGTCCCCCGTGTATTATGCGGCTACCTTAGAGATGAAAGATTTTTATTAACAGGTCCAATAGTTTCGGTGCCTATACAAGGCAAACAAATAAGCAATCAAATTTTTCTTTTTTATAATATGGATATAGATTATTGGAAATAAATATGGTATTAAGGAAATCGAATAAATTGCAGCTATTCTGTTACAAAGCGATGTGCATAAAAATATTTTATGCATTGAATATTAGGCTCGTGGAGAGGATAGGTTTATAAAAAAAGATAGTCTAAAATATTAAAATTTATAATGTGTCTGGAAGCTTCGCCAATGAGTCACTAATAAATTGTCTCAGATTCGACGGATAAAACTCTGTGGATAAATCCTAATTGGTCTACGGATAGTCGATCTCTTTACCTGACAAACTATTCAGGCTTTATTCTGGCAGATCAATCGGTAACGCTTCAGTTATGCAGTAGACCCGCTGGTGTTGAACATCTGATACTAAAACACGCATCGAATTTAGATACTTAAAAAAAACAACAAAATTTAGTATGATTCAGGAATAACGTAAGTCAACAGTGACTTGAATTTACAAGTAGGTATTATGTAATAACAGTAATTCATACCAACTAGTAATCAAATCTAAAAGAACGTCGGGGGAAACACCATGAAATAAGCGCGCAAGTGCTTCGATTACAGAAGTTAAGCTAATAGTTTTCCTATAACGGCAATCGGCCATAGCTGGTACCGCTACTCCCGCATTCTTATCATTCTATGTTAGATGCAGTTACACACTTTCTAGTTATCACAATCATAACATGTACAGGTTTTTATATTATTTCCTTTGACTTTAGTAAAGTTTTTGTCCCATTTTAAAATGATTAAATATTTATTAAGCCCTAAAAGCTATGGTGAACTCCCGTGGGCTTTGTTTATAGATTTATTTTTTTTAATTTCCACTTTATTTTAAATCTTAACGTAGTAAGAGTAGAGTGGTAAGTCAATTGCGAAAAGTTGACATATTTTTGTAAACTTACATGCTGCTGTGCGTAAATTTACAAATAAACCAGTTCAAATGAATAACTAAATCTAAAATAGACATTCCGGGTTAGAAGATGATACTATGCCTTACTTTCCTTTATTGTGTATTAAATTCTACTAGAATTGAGTTCTGTGTCACAAAACAAGTAGGAAGCATATAAATATTTTCTTTTTAAAATGGTTTCATACAGATATATACTATATTTCTGAGATCTGATTCCTTTATTTACATAGAACACTAATAAAAACAGACTACAAATATAAAACTAAATCACCCAAATAAAATTTTTGTATAGTTTACTAGTTATGATTAAACCCTTTTATTATTAGACAGCGAGCCTTTTTAGAGATGTTAAAAAATAAATCTATACGAATAAAATAAATACTAAAAATTTATTCTAAAAAATAATTATCAATATCGACGTCATTAATATTTTAACTCATCTCTAAAAATGTCAAACTACCAAATTGCACCTCCAATAGCGGCTTAAAGTTATAATATTCTCTTTCATTAATAAATGTCGACACACGACGTTGAAAACGGTTAAATTATAATGCATTGGATATAGAATTCACCAGGAATTCACGCTCTATAAATCACTTTTTAATCACAATGCACTCTTGACGTTGTGTTCTTTATCATTGTGTAAGATTCTTTATAACTATGGCAATTTGTAAATAAACGGTGGGTGTAAACGTTTCACAAGTCTCAAAGCAATTGTGAATTTAACGTTTTTCGTACATACAACAAAAACTCTGAATACTGCTAATGAATATAATCATAATTTGGTAATGGGATGAACAAACACACAACTGTAAATGAATATACATATAATGCCATTAGTTTTTTCCCAAAACTTTTAATCGACTACAAAATATTGAAAAATTCTATCTGATTAACAATAAAATTCGATAAATAATTTGGGAAACTGACGATTGTATGATTAACGAGCTCTCAAATAGAAACAGCGTTGAACTCAACGTGAAGAACAGGTTTAATTTCATTAAATCTCTTTTCTGTGAAAGTGCTTATCTTGACGGTCAGTTCGATACGATTTTATTACCTGAACTAATTGCTTATCACTAATTCTTCAAGTTTCAAATATTACTTACTACTACTTTTATGAAGAGCCTGACTTGAAAATAGATATGTCATAAAATAATGTATTTTTAATTATATCGTTATTACACTTTTAATATGCAAACTCCTTAAAATATATAATTGATGCGTTTGCAATTCATGGACATGGAATGTCTTCCATATCTTTTCACCAAATAAAATCTATCAAATATGAGGACTAAGATTCAATAAAATTATTTCCAAATCGGTGAAAATAAATCGCCTGGAGTAATATGCAAAAAAAATCACATATGGTTTGAAGTAGATTTAAAGTACGGATTTAAAGTAAATAATTTACTAACAAGCGATCCGCTGGACTTTTTTAAGATGCATTCGAATGAAAGCAATCGCCTGACATATTGTGAATGGGATAAAGACACTATTACAATTTTTCCTAGAAGCGAGAACTTTTGAATCACAACAGTGTACTCTGGAGACTATTCGAACTTTTAAAAATAAAACTTTGAAAGACTCAACTCAATGTCCGAAGTGGCAGTTGTTCTGAAGAGTAAAACCTTCGAGACAGGCATCTTGGAGGTGTGGTGGCAGAGCTTAGTGTTGATTGGACGCCTACTGCTCTGGTACATCAGATTGTTACAACAAGCTATGTGCGGTACGCAAATCTTCTATACAACTCAAACTATACAATTCAAACTTAAACTCAAATTTATATGAAATGTTGATGGTAATTGTGGTAGATAAATTAGACTACATTAAGTTTTAATTATGTCAAATTAAGTTTTTAATTTTGTACATAAACAACTAATATAACAGAAGTAAACCTCCTGTGTACCTAAGTTAGATTATGTTCCTTGGATTAAATGTGCTCTGATTAATAACTAAATTAGTAATAATGTTAACGCAAACCGAAATTAAAATTATAATATTGTTAGTTTAAGTTGGTTTAGAGAGTGTCAGCGATTTGCCAGTCCTTATCTTTAGCGAACGGCCAAGGAATGGAATGCATTACCTAATCATGTATCCTCCAATCGGTATAATCTGGAACTTTCCAAGCCAGAGTAATGAGGCACTTCCTGTGTAGGCATATTCTATCTCAGGCAACATCTTGCTTACCATCAGGTTAGATAGTAGCCAAATGTCAACTCAGTCTTACAATAATAAAAACAACAGAATTGGCACCATTATAACGGCAATACGATACCGCAGTAGTTTATGTATTCTAAGAATAATTGATTATCATCGTGATTCGGAAGACACGTCAAGTCTTGGCTGATTCTGCTGTCATTAACATCCACCAACGCTTCTTGGAGGATTATGTCTAGTCCCTATGTACTTCTATGAAAGGGAAGACCTGTACCCAAGTTGTGGAGATAGTATTAGGATAATTATAAACAATATAACATATATAACCATTTTGATTTATCAACCTATTTTTAAACATTAATGAAATGTGTCATCAATCATAAGTTAATTATACAAGTTTTATTCTAAGTTTACAAAAGTGGTCTCTTAATTTTAAAACTAATTTTCTTCACTTACTTTGGACAAATTTAAATCCTATTATTGCTAATACACCATCATTTTGGACGTATTCAATGTTCTTTTCTTCATATCGTAAATCATAATGAATATATATTACCTATGTCTGAGTTTACTATTAATTTTCTAAACTCTTATATGTTTTACATAATTCAATCAATATTTATGATTATTATCTTTTTCAATTACAGAGGTGAAAGTCCCGGCGGCCATGATGGCGCCCAGTGTATTCCAAAGGACAAAGTCACCACGATCTTCACCAGGAAACCTTCCCAGGAAACTACAGGTGAGGACACATAGTGATTGAATTTTATAACTGTATCTCTTGGGTTGCAAACAAAGAGCACCAAGTACTACATATAGACATAGTCTAATCAATTTTTGAATTGACACTTCAACCATAGATTTTAGGAATATTATTTAATTAAACTAGTTGATCTAGATTCCCTTTTAATACCTCAATTATCTATATATATAAAAATGAATCGCAAAATGTGTTGGTAAGCGCATAACTCAACAACGCCTCGGCCAATTTGGCCAAATCTTTTTTTAAAATGTTCGTTGAAGTTCAAGGATGGTTTTTACGGCGAGAATTATTGCTGGAAAAACCCTAAAAATAGCCCTTTTCTTTTTCCCATACAAATGATTTGTAACTAAAACGTAGTCAATTTGAGCTTTATTGCTATGGTATAAAGTTCATATTAAATTACAAGCACTCACTGTTGTCTAAGCAATGTAGGTGTGTTCCTAACGTCAAAGATCATATCTATCACAAAACAATGTGCGTGTGTGCGTTGGAGCACAGAATACATAGTTGGAGGAGTTTAATGTCGCGTTCCGAAACTCGCGTTTCTTTTGTATTAGTTTCGGCACGCGAGATAAAATGCATCAGTTTCCACGTCATTACATGTATTGCCGGAACATTGATGAAAATACGCTCTGTAGTAGCAAAGCTGTTGGGTCCTAGATAGCTCATTGGTTGGAGCAGTCCCTGGATCGCGAATGGGTTCGAGTCCCATTCCGGGGTACAGGTAGATGGATTCTTCCAGCATTTTTCCTTGAGAATGTTTATATATTTTTTTAATTCGAATAGTTTACTTTTATAATGCTGTTGTGTGTAATGTGTTTTTATGATCATAAAAATCTCTTTTTTCTATATTTAATACTATTACTATTAATACATTGCAATAATAATTATGATTCACATGATTAATAATAAAGCGATTACTTACTTTTAAATCCTTATATATGTTTTATTTAATTATTTTTATTCACAACGCCCTATCACCAGGGTGACGGTTCTGTTCAGGAGAATTTTTTTAAATACGTAGGCAAAAAACTGCCACATTACAAATCTTTTTGACAGGACGAAGTCTGTCGGGTCAGCTAGTCTTACAATAAATTAGTTCAAGAGGAATGGACTTACCTACATTTAAACCGGTTTACCCGCTTCCTTTTTTCTTCGCCGTAGTTGGGCAGTAAATTGTCATTCATCAGTTCCTCATGGACTCGCTGTACTAATTCCATAGAAGTCTCAATCTGTAATGCTTAAAGGCCGAATTGCACTTCTTAAATATACCTATATAAACTCATAAAAATTCATGTATCTGGTTACAGAATGGTATGGAGGCAGCAGGGCAATCGGAGCCGGCAGCAGACTCCAGTCCCGGCAACTCAATCTCAGACGCAGAAAACTTCGAATGCTACGGCGAAGCTGATGGTGACGCGCCAACAAACACGTCTGTACCATTAATCGTATAAAAATATACATTTAATCTTTGATATACTCACGGTCAGTTGCCCAAATGTCCGTCAAGGTTTAACGACGCCTTTAAGCTCTAATAAATGTCAAATTTATATGGGTAATGTCGCTATAAACTAATGGCTATTTTAATGGACGTTTGTGCAACTAGCTATCAGAGTCCCAAATCAGATAAATATCTAAATAATTCACGAATCTGTCTTATTATAAAACAAGACTAAAATTAGTTGTTGATTTAAACGATAATCTAATGTTTAAACCATTGGCCGCCTAAAGCAAATTGACAATAACATAAGAGAAAAAGTAAAATTGAGATGTGTTGATTTATTTTGGTCAGATTATCTGACGTAAGTAGTTTTAATCTAGTAATAAATTTAATCCTCGTTTTATAATCAAGAATGAGTCCAAGAAGACATTGATATAGTTCAATAATGGTATCAGTTTTCTTGTCCAAACTGGACTAAATTTAGGTTAAGTTCTGCCAAACAGTATTTTCAATTGTATAAATAACTATATCAGAAGTAACTACATCAGAAAACTTATTATTTTATTATTACTTTGATAGCTTTAGCTCTTCTGGAATTAGAGGAATAAAAAATATAAAAACATGAACAATTTAATTGTGCTAACAAACAGAATTGATACCATCGTATGAAGATAAAAGTATCACGTGGAATTCATATACATTGCTCAAACCCAAATTAAGTAGCTAAAGCACTTTTCTCGTGGCAATCTGAAGCAACGAAGACATCACTACACTTTCGACCTGAGATAATATAGAAAAGTTCATTCTCCACATTCACTCGACCAAGAATCAAACCCGGAATCTCAGTGATGGCGACATCTTGAAACTGGCGACGTGCGAGACTCTCAGCATCATTAATATTATACGTGATGAATACATAGCATCTAGATGATTTTCAGACAAAAAAAATCGGGACGTATGTCATAATATGATTGATTATATTAAATGGATTTTAATTTAGATTTTTTTTCTCGACTCCATAATTACGCAGTTTTTATAAAATTGAAATAAAGCCATGTTTTATATACATAGATTTTATATATAACAGATTTTATATACATATCCAAAAAAATAATTAATGGCAGTTCTTTAAATTAAAATAAAATCTACATATTTCTATAGTGCATAGATTATGTGAATCCATAACGATATTTGCTGGCAGTTTTCCAAGTTCTTTTAATAGTTTCATTAAATATTTCATACATTAACGAGATGGTGAAAGTAACTCTCAACATCAAATAGATTTTAAAAATAAATTAAACATTGGGAGAAAATAAAGACATACTCTTAAGATAACGGTTAGTTATAATTTAATTAGCAATCAGCTATGCTTTTCTTAAAAAAACAGCCTCAAACTCGACATCGAGTCGGCCACGGCAACAGAGCTTCAATAAAATAAACCATTTATTGTATGTATATGACAGAGATGGTGAAAGTAACTCTCAACATCAAATAGATTTTAAAAATAAATTAAACATTGGGAGAAAATAAAGACATACTCTTAAGATAACGGTTAGTTATAATTTAATTAGCAATCAGCTATGCTTTTCTTAAAAAAACAGCCTCAAACTCGACATCGAGTCGGCCACGGCAACAGAGCTTCAATAAAATAAACCATTTATTGTATGTATATGAGTTTCTTTTTTCCACCACAACTTTTGAAATACTTAACGGATATAAATGTATAGCGGGTATCATTAGAAACGTTACATCGTCGCGAGTGACACTGATTATATATATATTATATATTATTTAAATAAATATATATTTAAATTCAAGATGTCGCATATTTTGGCATTATAAGGAAATACTTATTTTTGCATATGCGCCCCTCTGGCTTGAAGCCCTCGATTCATCAATTCTATGATTAAGCCAGAACCAAGTTTCAGGTTGCAATGATGTGTTTATGTGTTCGGTTTGACTTGTTATCCACTATCTACTTGTAAGGTGTCGCAAGAGCCAGAATAAAAGCAAGCAAACAATAAATGTAAAAGGAAAAACGACGGCATGTTTTTTCCGATATCTTTAACAATAATCATACTAGCATTAGTCCTCATTTTATAATAAGGTTTGAGTTTCTTCTTCTTTCTTCTCTAGCCATTCTCAACCGCAAGGGTGTAGGCCTCCTTTAGTTTCTGCCATCTCTTTCGGTCTTGGGCAGTTTCCATCCACTTCGTGCCAGCTGTTTGTTTGATATCATCATACCAACGCATCTGAGGTCTTCCTTGTGGGCGTTTTTCACCCCACGGTCTCCATTCTATCACGGCCTTACACCACGATCCCTGTTTGCGTGCAACGTGACCCGCCCACTGCCACTTAAGATTCGCAACACGCTGTATGACGTCAGTGACTTTGCTCTGTTGTCTGAGCCACTGGTTTCTTTTACGATCTCTCAGCGTAACACCTACCAGCTTCCTCTCTATCGCTCTTTGGGCTACTTGGAGTTTTTGGAGAATCTTCTCGGTGAACACCCAAGTCTCGGCTCCGTATGTGAGCACCGGTAGTATACATTGGTCGTGTATGCGAGCCTTCTGTTCTGCAGTAATATTCATACGGAAGGCGAACTCAAGCTTGGAGTAGGCTGCCCACGCTAATCTTATACGCCTATCAATTTCATTTGCCTGGTTGTCTTTTCCCATTACGACCTCTTGTCCCAGATACACATACTTTGTAACTCTCTCAATTACGGTGTCATTTACCTTGATGTTAATGGTTGTGCTGGAGCAGTTTGTCATGACCTTGGTTTTTTCAAGATTCATCTCCAACCCACACCGCACAGAGGCACTGTTGAGTTCCTGTATCATAGCTTCGAGGTCTGTCGGGTTGTCAGAGAATAGCACGATGTCATCAGCGAATCTAAGGTTGCTCAGTCTTTTACCCTCTATGTTGATACCGCATTTTTCCCAGTGCAACATTTTGAAGATATCCTCCAATACCAGCGTGAACAATTTTGGAGAGATGGTATCTCCCTGTCTAACGCCTCTTCTTATCGCTACTGGTTTGGTTTCCGGAGGTAATTTTATCTTTAAGGTGCCGTTCCGGTAAATGTTACTTACTAGGTTAATGTAGCGGTGATCTATTCGAGCATTTTGCATAGACTGAATTACTGCCCAGGATTCAATACTGTCGAATGCTTTTTTGTAGTCTATGAATGCAAGCCACAGGGGCATCTGGTATTCTGTGGCTTTTTCTATGACTATCCTCAGTGTTAGTATGTGGTCCATAGTACTGTACCCGCTCCTAAATCCGGCTTGTTCGATTGGCTGGTAGAAGTCAAGTTTCTTGGTCAAACGAATGGTGATAATTTTCGTGAACAATTTGTACAACTGTGACAGCAGGCTGATAGGGCGGTAGTTGTTGAGATCAGCTTTATTTCCTTTTTTAAATAGTAAGATGACAGTTGCACTCTCCCATTTCTCCGGGATTCGGCTCTCCTCCAAGCACTTATTAAAAAGTTTCTCTATGACCCCAATAACTCCGTCCCCAGCCTCTTTGACCATTTCGATGATGACGCCGTCCTCACCAGGGGCTTTTCCGTTTGTCATCCTACATAGGGCAGTGCGTATCTCGGTCTTTGTTATCTCTGGTACGTCCTCAGACCCAACGTTTGTTATTTTACGATCTGACAAGCTAGATGGTTTAGGATTTTTAGAACTGTATAACTGCTGGTAATACTCCTCTACGAGCTCTAGGAGTCGTTTCCGTTCAGTAGCTATATTTCCTTCTTTGTCACAAAGCTTCGTGATTTGTTGGGTACCAAGTTTAAGAGCCTTTTTAAACACTTTTGGACCTCTGTATTTCTGGATGATATTTTTAACGATTTTTTCGCGGTACGCATCAATGTCACTCTCCACGCAAACTCGTGTCTCTTTACAAATTGTTTTAAACAGGGTTGTGTGACTTTCTCCTTGCTTGATTAAAGACCTTCTTTGCTCCAGTAGTTCTTTAGTTTTAGGTTGTAGCTTATGCGACCGATTTGTGTTTTTAATAGCAACACTTTTTGCTGCCTTACACAGAGAGCTACTTAGGTGGTTTAGGAGATTGTTGACGTCTGACGTATTGGTGTTGCTAACTTCTAGGTGTTTTTGAACTTCTTTTTGGTAAGATTCCCTGTTCATTATTAAGCACTCTGGGTCCACTTTAGTCTTTTTTCGTCTAATTGATGCATACCTTTCCAGTTTTGCATTGATCTGCACTAATGCACGAACAAGCCGGTGGTCGCTTCCCGTATAAAAACTATTTAGGACGGAGACATCTTTAACTATACATTTGTGGCTACTAAATACATAGTCAATTTCGTTCTTGTATCTTGCGCCTGGGGATACCCACGTCCACTTCCTTTCAGGTCTTTTTTGGAAGAAAGAACTCATGTGGAATAACTTCTCCTGTTCTAGGAAGTTAATTAGCGTGTTCCCTCGCCCGTTTCTACTGCCATAACCGAATTTACCTAATACTTGTTCCGAGTCATTCTCTTTAAGTCCAATCTTTGCATTAAAATCGCCCGTGACTATTGTGTATGTAGTCTTGTGGTCCTTAATGCATGCACTTAAATCTTCGTACATTTGCTCTATTTCTGTGTCAGCAGCTGTGCTGGTAGGAGCATAGACTTGGATGACTTTCAGTGTGATTTTCCTCGTTATGTGCAATATCAAGTATAGGATTCTATCTGAGACTGAGTTTATAGAAACAATGTTGCCACCAATTCGTTTGTTTATGAGTAGACCCACCCCGTGCTCGTGTCTATCTGAATCAGATCCGCGGTAGTATAAAGAGTGTCCGTTCGTAAGCTTGAGATATTCCTCACCCCGTCGTCTAACTTCGGACAATCCAACTATATCCCAATTGATTTTATCAAGTTCGTACAGTAATTCCTCCATTCTATCCTCTGTCCTCAATGTCTTAGCATTGTATGATGCTATCGCTAATCCCGTTATTAGTTTTGAGTTTTGGCAGCTTTTATACTCCCAGTGATTCTTCGCACCCCTGGCGTTGCCTTCACCCATACTGCTGCCTCTGTTGGGGATCGCACTACCGCTGGGAACTCGGGGCCATTTTTTCTTTTGTGTGTTCATAATACTAAAGGGTTTAGGCGCATTAACCCCCCCGCTTGCCTAAGGCGTCTTGGTGGGTGAGAAGTAATCCATCTGACTCGGATTTTGGACGCTACCGTTGGTCTTAGTGTAGGACTCTTCCGCTACCGTTCCTAGGACAAACCATCCTCCTCTGATGGCATCCAGACCAAACAGCCGTGATACGCCTGAGTGATCCCCCCTATCTCTCGTCCGTTTGTTGACCTCACTTCCCACTGGGATTAAAACCACAGTCTTCCGTAAGGTTGCTCAACTTAACAGGGCCTGCCGCGTGAAGGTGAGAGTGGAGTTGGGGTGCAGAGGCTATAGAACTTCACTTGAAGAAATTCTTATATTGCGCGTAACACCCCCTTAGACCCCTTTGAGAGGTTTGAGTTTATCACCTTTTAACGTACAAACGCGGCGAGGGAACTTTTAGGGTTCTGCACCCACAGGGTAAAAAACGGGACCGTGTGTTGACAGCAAGATGAATTAAATCTTCTATTCCTCACTCACAGAGTGGAGAATGGCACCAGGAGTCCCGGTAGTCACCTGAACAGACATTCATGGACACGGACTAGTCTACGACGGACGCCTCCCAGGTGAGCAACACTAGTCAATAGCAAATGTTACGCAAAGCTCCTAAAGATGGCTGCATTAGCACATGTAGATGTTGACAAACAAACTTTTTTGAGCATTTGTCATTTAAAATAATAGATTTCCTTCCTTCTGATAGTGCTAATATAGGAAGACGACCGGACAGTCTTCGACACGACCAAACTCATGGCACCAAATCATTTCAGGTTTAGTGCGATGAGTTTGGTGACAATATTGCTTGTAAAACCAAGTTTGCTGTACGCAGCGGACAAATTACATTCGAATATACCTACAGCAATAGTGAATTATTGGATAAAATGACACTCTTTCTAATTATAAATCCAAAAAATATTCGATTTCTGTCACTACTTTATCAATGACGTTTAAAGTTTATAAAAAAAATTAACTACATATGCTAGTGCTGCGATCTGGGCGCAAAAAATTGCAGTAATACGTCCTACTAATGTAGCTTTATTAACTTAGTAGGATAAATAGGATAAATAATTATCGGACTAAATTGTATATTTTGTTGTTTTGAAACTAATATTTTGGTTATTAAATGTCAAATGTTGATCAGAAAGAAATATATCTATCCTTAACAAGAAAATTCATCAAGTTATCGAGAGAGTTAATGTTTCATTTAAGAAAAAAGACGCTAATTAAGAGTATTAGTAATTGCTTCTGAAGTAATTTTTATTATGTTAGTTAAAGGGTAAAATTTTTGTGGTAACAAATTGCTGCTGGTCATTTTGATATTTGTGATGTATTGTGATACTTTTTGTTTGTCTAATATTGATGACTCTACTTCTCTAGCATAAACGGTACCCTAAGGCAGGGGTCGATAACCTGCAGCTCGCTGAAGTTGGGGTTCTTAAATGCAATTTACAAAAAATATTTTATTTTCAGAACTCTTTAAATGTGTAAAGTATAATCGATCCTTATTTGCGTAACCATACTATAATACGATTAAGATATACTAACTTTGACTGACAAATAGATATTTAAATAAAATCTCAATTAGAAATAAAACATTTCAAATTTCGGCAAATAGTTCAATATTCACATAACACAAACATGTAAAGTTAACAAAAAATGCGTCGTCTATTTATTAATCCACATAAACACAAGTAACAAGCTTGGAACAGTTTATTAGCAGATGTAGTTGCAGCACAGACTCTAAACCAATTTAAAAATAGACTTAAAAATTTTATGAAACAGGAACAAAGAAATATACCACCCAAAATATTTCTGCATACAGGCTGCAATCAGTTGTTGCAACTGTCTGCTTGTGTACCATAATAATAATATCTGATGTTAAAATGTATGAAATCTTTAGTAGGTCATATATTTTTTTGTAAATTGTAGCTTTTGTGTCATTAGGTTGCCAACCCCTGCCGTAGGAGTACAAGAATGAGTTCACATTTTTGCGTTGCTTCACTTACACATTTTTTGATCTGCTTTTTTTGTATTTGATTTTGTTTTGTTTATGCACTTTGCGTTCGCTTCTCACTTTATTGTTTGTTCTTCAGCCATCAAGAAAACCTACCGCATAGGCGATGGGGCTCCATGAGACAGTAAGCTTATTTCTTTTTATTTGCAATATATTCTTTTGTTGATAAAATATGACCTATAATAAAGTCTACGCTCTGCATACGGAATCGTCAAAGGTGATAAATAACTATAAAATTTATTGACCGTCTTATAATTTGATTTTACCAACAAAAGGATCTATAATAAATCAGTTATTTGCAACTTGATCTGGGTTTGGTCTTCTTTTAGGCGTACATTAATTAAAAGTTACGTCTGTTTTAAACATAAAATTTTTTGTGTTGTTTTAAACTTTCATAGTCATTAACATTAACATGATTGATACCATGTATGTACCTAACCTATCTCATAAGACGAGAAAAATATCGGGAACTCAATTTATGGTACATGGTGGTAGCAATCCCGTTATTAGTAATAATTCTATTGTTTTTTATCATAATCAAGTATATAGATTAACTCTTCATTCAATTTAATAAAACACTAATTCCTATTATTTTATTATATAGCAATAATATAACATTATTTCTTCAAAAGGAACTTAATAGCGCAAGACTAGCATAAAGACAAGAGAGAGACGGAATCAACGCGTACAGAGAATAGTATATATCGTTCGTAAATAATATTCCTATGGGTTTTGCAACTTGCTTAATCGGTTCAGATATATTTTAATATTAACGAAAATTAATTAAAAATACTTCGAAAAAAATTGCACGGACAATGAAATACCTACAGAAAGAACCGAAACTATTTTCTATGGAATTCGAAATATATAGGATCAGCCAAAATGTCCACTAATACCACATAAATAAATTTTAAAATACAGTCCATAACGTTAAGCCTTGTGTTGTAGAATATACACTAACCCATTCTAAGATAACATACTTAAATTACCTCAACGAAATTGCCCGCGTAAATGTGAACCGCATCTAGTTACGCGTGGGTAAAAGAATTAAAATCGGTCCGGTCGTGTTTTCTCATTAAAATATTAGATATAAACTAGTATTCAATTGCATGTAACAAAACTGCCTGTCAATCGGTCATAGAATAGTCTCTGAACTTTAAATGCTTTAAACTTAGTACAGTTTAAAGCATTTACAGTGTTATTACAAAAGAGATGTTAGACAGGGTTTTACCATGTGTTTAAGTAAACAATGTCTAAGAATATAAACCCTGTTTAAAATGATGTTTAACTTTGTCTATTACAAATCCATTTTTAGTCGTAGTCTAACTAACGCTGATTTAAACATGCAACCCGTAAAGCATTCGTTCAGTTGGCTTTCATTCGTTCATACACGTTCCATTATATGCACATCTTATACAGACTTATGATAAATTCTAATCGTAAAAAGATATGTTCAATAACGTATTAGCTAATAACTTTCAAAAGTAAAAAAGAAAGTACAAAATTAACGTTTTTAAACTGGCACTTCTATTCATAATTCATATTAGAGTAAGGTTAAGTAAAACAATAGCGAAATAATATGAAGAAACGGAACAACTACTACCTGATGCCGAACCCAACGCCGCACATGTTCACAAGCTGTGTACTGACACAGAAGCTATGCACACATGCACATGCTACGTGTATTTATTTGCAGATCTATACTTTCATCTCGAGGATTATGTGGAATATCGCCTTAAATAATTTCATATATTTTGTCAGCAAACAATCCACTAAATATGTACTTTCTTTTATATCAAAGTTCATTGTATTGCTCAAATGGATTAATTCCCGTTTGCTTTACTTACGCGTCCTAAAAGCTTTCCATGTAATCTAAATCGACCATATCAATATAATCTTTATCTTAAAAATATGGATGAATTTTCAACAAAGCGCAACTTATTTTGAGGTTAGACACGCGTTAAACAACTCTCAACGAGTGTTTATATTTTAAACAATGTTTAAGGGATGTTTAGCCTTAAACAGTGCCTAAATACGATTTTGTAATAGAATTTTTTTTAAACACGTGTTCAACGCGTGTTTATCTTTTTTGTAATAACACTGTTAAAGTTCAGAGACTATTCTATTACTGCTAGTGTAACTTTTACAAACGAATTTATACTTTATCGCACTAAATATAAGACTGATTAAATCTCAACGAAATGTAAACAGAAAATGTTATTAGGACATAGCATTGTCGCTGGAAACAATGCAGCTACTTCTATTTCCAGATTGTCAATGAGTCATGGTCTGGTATTTAAATCTCTTACTAATTACAGATTTGTAATTTAATTATCTGTTACAAGTATGTATAAAGAGAACTTATGTTTAGAAACCAAGTAGTTTCTATGTAAAAATAAATAATAAATAGATATGTATTAAACAACATTACATACATTGCTCAGAAATGACCTGACCAAGAATCGAACCCGGGATCTTAAAGGATATATTGATACGGGCGGATAATTATTGTTTTTTTTATGTGTTCCTTATTGTCAGGAAAAGGTTTGTATATAAGAAAAGTTATAATTTATAAAAAAACGGGGACATACGGGGTTAGAAGTTCGCCGGGTCAGTTAGTTTAAAATTTAATCAGATTCTATTCGATCTAGTAAATCTATAGTGTCGATATTAACGTCGATATGTTTCAATTCCCATATACACACGGACTTTCTCATTGCTAACTTCACGGGAAATAAGTAAAAAATAAACGAATTTGATCAAATAAAACATTTCATATATATTGCAAACAATCATTAATGACTGTAGTATCGTTAATAATGTAGACCTTTTTGTATATTTCCAGTTTAAACATGGACAAATTAATTATTAAAACTAGATTCCGAACAATCACACACAACATCGCTTTCCAACCACAAACAAACATAAAAGCGAATAAATGGTTTTGGCTTAACTTGTTAGATATGTAAAAGATTAATGTGTTAAATTCATTTCATTATTTCAATTACATATTATAGAATAAAACATTTTTTTTTGTATTTATAATTTTATACTATCATTGGTGTGTTTTGTTGCGGAATCACATAATACTTATTCGTCAATTAATGCAAACCGGTAAAACATTGCTGCTCTAAAATGGCAGGCGTTATTATTAGACGGTGACTAAAAATATTATCGGGAATAACACACATACAATCTGTTCTATAAGAATTTACATAATTTTCTCTTTGAAATTAATTGGTATTTCAACAATTTGGTGTTTAATTATCTGCAAGAAATACGAGAGCAAAATTCAATTTATGTGTTATATTAATTGTTTTTATAGAAGTACTGCAGAAATATTTATTTCAGTTTTATTCTTGGAATCATTGTGGTAATCTAGAAAACAATCCCAAAAACATACACGGGCTTATTTATAAGAAAATATTGAGGACTGCAAATTTCCTAATACACAGTAAATATACAAAATATTATTAATACCACAAAACAAGTTTTAAGGGATTTTATTTAATATGTACTAGCTTTCGCCAGCGGTTTCGCCCGCGTGGTCCCTAA